GATAAATTAATTAACATAACTTTATTTCGGAATCATTATTACCATTTCTTAATAAACGTTAATTGTTAACATTATATGATACTTAATTACATCATAATATACAGTGGATTACATTAAATGTCATTTCTGAAAAACTATACCCCAAGCGGTTTAGTATAGACACAATTCCTGGGAAATTTCATTAAAAATATTCATTATTTTAAATTAGATTTATAAGAAAATGTTTGAAAATAAATATCAAAAACCTTATAAAACGTAATAAAATATAAAACTGTGCCTTAGAGTTGATGATATCAAGGAATCCATTAATTTAGTGAATTATATAGTATTTATAAAAAGTCGTAGGATTTTCAGATGAATAGCATCATTATTTTGAAGGTTTACATATTTTTCAGTTCAATATCTATTTGAAATAAATAAATGATTTAAAGAGTTTTGACTCAACGCTTGATATTTAAATGTTTTCATAGTATTTCATATGAATAACAATTCTTTACTTTATCAAAATACGAATAGTATATGTATTTTTATATTTGTATAAAATTTAAAAAAAATATTGTTTCCCAAAGAATTTTACAAATTGGTTTACATATAAAAAACTTATTTGAATATAATTTATCGCTAGTCCTGAACTTATTGTTTTACAATAGAATCAAATGCTAAATATTTATGAATAAATGAGATCACATTTCATTATTATTTAATAGAATTTAATTATAAATATAATAATAATAATCAGAATTATTCGCAGAATCTATAGATGTTTGGTGAATGAAAGTGAATTAAAGGCAAATGTATTTTAAATGCAAATGAGATTGAATTCTATAGTATTGTATTCATTGATAAAATTTTATGATTAAACAGATATACAGTATATTTCCATCAAATTAAAAAATCTTATGATATTAATTCGGAGAATAAGGAATATGAGTTTTAAGTGCACTTCAAAAATATATATCCCTTTCTAATACCAGTGCTCCATATTATATTTCATATTAAATTATAGTTCAGCCACTTGTATAGTCCACTCATAAATTTAAATAAAACGCTTGCATAATAAAATCAGTTTATTTGTAGCTATTATGTTATTATAAGATTCAAAACTATGTATATTCTCAGGAATTTCTACAGAATATAACAAAAGTATATTTCAAAATTAAATTAAAATCTAAACCATAGAGCACTTAAGGTTTCTTATAAAACATGCTATCTTTTATATAATACAATATAATATAAAGAGTACAAACAAAAGGTTCTTTATAAATTACCTGTACTTGTGATATAAAAAGAGCCTTTTATGTAAATTTGCACAAATGTTTATATTTAGACACTAATAACTAACAAATGATTGCATTGCATGTGATGTCCAGGCATTGCCCGAATGTATTGACGAGCGATCGGTTTGCGGTTACGTTCAACTCAATAGTATGGGTATTAGTTCACAACCTCTCTGTAAGTGTAGGGGAGGTGTTCAGTGCCCTATGATGTGGAATCCCATGGATGGTAGGACGGTGTCCCACGGAAATGACCAGTACAAGGTATATACCGCCTGACCCTGTCATGTATGGCTAACCTAATGATCGTAATCCATGTCCAGTACTGCAATCGGGCCCCGAGACTGAACTATTGCGGCAAAGAAGAGATCGTTTACACCACTTATTTAGAGACATCGATGTTGACGATGAGGACTCTTATGAACACTAATCACATCCACTGTCTGTGTCCCGCGCATCACCTCTTTGTAAGAAATGACACCAAATTTCATGACTTAGACGACGGCACATCCATCATTGGAACCACATTCCAGTGCAAACCCGTGAGTCCCACCA